AGAATTTATTTAAATTTCTATTAGACTTGAGAGGATCTTTTTGTTCCATTTTTAATATAACTTCCATAGCTAGGTTTTGGGTATATTTTCAAGTAAGAATTCACATTATACAACAATGTGATCTTTAGTGTAAAGGTAAAAAATTGATCTTTGCTATCTTTTCTTGATTATTTTTTCCAAATATAGCCATTAATACTTCCAAAAATAAATTTATATTATTAAATAGTTATGAATCTTTCTCTATTAAAGATGCAAATTAATTAAAAAAACACATCTAGATAGAAGTGCATTGAATGAATTTAATTTGAGTAAATCCATGAAGATATTAAAATAGATGCAATCTTAGATAGAATTGATTTATTGTAGAAATTCTTGAAATTTTGATCTTATTCTGTCGGAATTTTTCAGTATATTAATACTTGCATCATTCATATTTGTAGTAGTAAGACTTCTTGAATTAAATTATGAGATTGTTCTATTTACTTCTTTCAATTATATAACTTTTTAGCATAAATATTAAACTTCATTGTTAAATTCTTTGATAGGTATAGAAATAATACCTCTATGGTTAATATTAGTAGTACATAAGATTTTTATTTTAAGAATATTAATAAACCTATGAAGATCTATAATAGTTGCAAATCTATTCTTACTTTTGTTGAGTATAGTATTTATAATTTTTCCTTCTATTTCTATAATATATAAATTTAATTAATCTATAAGTCAAATTAAAAAAAATAATTTATAACTTTTAATATTAAATGATAATTTCTATAAAATAAGATTATTTAATCTTTTTCATAAAATAATAAATATTAAAAAATAAAAGTGTTAATTTAAAGATGAATAGTTTAATAAAAGAAGTGGAATAATTCATTCACTTTTCAAAAAAAACAAGAATAATAAATTTGAATTCTTGTCAAAGAGTTAAGGATATAAATTACAAACAATAAAAACTTCACTACATTTTTGTATCACTTGCACAGATACACATATTTACTCTAATAATTATTTAGATAGTATAAATAAATAAAATTATACTATAATAAATAAATTTGATAATATCTTATAGAATAGCTTCTTAGAAGCTTTATAGCTATGGATTTGATTTTATATGTATTTATAGTTTATTATTAGGTTAAAAACTTAGCCAAAATAATAGTCACATATTATATATGTTGGTGGTTTATTATGTAAGCTAATCATATAGTATATATAGAGAAAAATTTCCTTGCAAGTTAGGTATGTGTTATACAAGTAGGACACTTATTGGAGGTTCCATAATGTGTCGCTATATAGTTCTTATTAGATAGTATAAATAAAATCAAGAGAGATGCTTTTGTCACTCTTATTAATTTCTTTTTTGCTTTTATTCTAGTTTTATGAATTTTTAGTTTTAGTTTTAGTTTTATTTTTTTTTTATTTTTTTTATTTTTTTATCTATAGTAATAGCTATTTAAATTTTGTCTAGAATATACATACTTTTTTATTTCTATTTTATCATCTCTCTTTGATACATATTTCACTTATTTACATATCTTTTTTGAATTCTTGTCTTTAGTAGTCATTCAAAAAGAATAGATTTTTATTCAAAAGTAATATAGTATTAAAACTAAAATGACTTTTGCCAAAGACAAGAAATTTAGAGAGACTTGAAACAAGATTAAAAATAAGAAAGATGTTGATAAGAGTAAAAAAAAGCTTTAATCTGGCCTTTATATATAGTTTTCAATTACAAAGTGTGTATCAACATTCTACATAACTTCCAAAATATATCAAACTAGTAAGATACATATCTAACTTATAAAATAAGTTTTTTACATGTGCTTAATATGGCCAACTTGTACCACAAGTTGCCAACATATGCAACATGTAGCTAGTTTATTGGCTAGATTTTTAACCAACCAATCAACAATAAACATATATAAAGTAAAATCCACATCAACAAAGCTTCTATACAAGATGTTATTAAATCAATCTATATTTATTTTTGATCTAACATTTCTTATTTAGATAATATATGTCGGTGACAACTATTAGTAAATTAGTTTTAGCCTCATTCTAATGTCTAGTTTATGAATCATAATAATACTTTAAAGAAGAAAAATACTTTAGTAATAATCAAAGAAAAGAAATAGAAAAATTAAAGATGGATATAACAAATAAACACAAGAAAGGAATTGACAAAAGTGAAGAAGTATTTACTCTTTTGTTTAGATATAATATCTAACAAAAGAGCTACATAACAACATCCTATAGGCCATTTGACATGAGTCCAACTTAGAAGACTTGTGTGTAACTTCTAAGCTAAGTTTTCTACATATGCGGCATATGTCCAAGATTTAATATAAGTGGCTAAAATACACAAGATGTAGCCCACTTATAAAACAAATGGCCAACATGTACATTGGAATAAGACTAAATTATCTCAAAAAACCAAGATCCTTTTAATCCACAACAACTTAAAACCTCATCACAAAATAAGACAAAACAAACTAGAAAAAAACTGAACCAAACTAAACAAAATAGGACATGAAAGACAAAACTGAGCAAATAGAAACACAATAGAATAGAAATGAACAAAAAGATGCAAAACTAAATTTTACTAAGAAAAAAGGTTTGAAACCATACTTGACTAGATGCTCCAAAAGGCCCTAGCCAGTCCTATTTATACCTTGTCATACCACCTTGGACTTTCTAGAACGTTCCTAGGTGGTAGACTCTATCTAGATAACCATCCTAAATTCTTTCTAGAATGTTTCATAGTGGATCTTACATGGTCCACTAACCTAATCCCAATTCTAGAAACTTCCATGGTTCTAACTATCTATACAATTATCTTATCTATACCATGTTATAATTAATCCTCCTCGACTAATGCGGAATGTCCTCGTTTTGCTCTTGATGGTATCTCCAAATTATCTCTTGGCAATGCATGAGATTTTGTACAACTTCTCATGTTGCATCATAAATGGGATAACCTTCCCAAAGAACTTTGTAGTAAAGTTATCGATGTCTACTACCACAACAAATATAGAAATGCTCCAAAATGCTATCTACTTCATATTCTTATTGATCATCAACTAGAATTCATGGTAGTGGTGGTTGGTGTCAATCTAAAAAGTACTTGGATACAATATGAAATTCCTTCTATTGCAAAACATAGAAGACTGGATAGACCCAAATATGTGGTGCAATCTCAAGGTAGTATACGATATTAGAAAGTAAAGCAAAAATATGGAAAGACCTGAGCTACCAAGGTGCTAGTTTACAGATTTGGATTGATGTAGCAAGTGGCAAGTTGGTATTAAAGAGTAGTACGTGATCACCTTCTCGAAAGATCTTGTGTTGTCGATGGTTATTTGCAAAGTATTTTTATTGATTCTGTGTAGTAAGGAGGTAGTGTCGTGCCTTTTATATTCCTATTGTATAAATTCCTCAATTGTTAGATTATTGGTAATGATGGAATGATGGAAAATTACTAGCATAATTAGATACTGATTAGTATTAAGGAAAAATGGTAAATGATTAGTACTTGCTTGAATACTATCATTATAAGCAAACTCCAAGGACATCAAGTATTCATCCCAATCATTATAATGAACCACCACAAATACATACAACATATCCTTCAAGGTCAGATTTGCATGCTTTGTTTGTCCTTTTGTTTGGAGATAGAAGACTATAAACATGGTAAGTTATGTGATTAGTAGCTTGAATAAGGCTTGCCAAAAACTTTCCCTGAAGCATGGATCTCAATTTGAAATGATGACACGAGGTAATCTATGGTGATAAAAGACGGTATCAAAGAAGACTTGTAGAAGCATTGGGGCATTAATATCCAAGCATACCTCAACCAAGTGAAATTGCTTCAAGAGTAGATCTACAAAGATGACAATTGCAGTATGATTATGAGGTATCTGTGACAAACATATAATGAGATCCATAATCACCTACTTTTAATGTGTTATAGGTAGCGGAATTGACTGCAATAATCTAGAAGACGCTATGTAGTATGCTTTATTACATTGACATGATTCACAAGAGCGTATAAAGGCTCAAACATCACTATTTAAACCTGTCCAAAATTATATTCTTGAGATTCATTTTAGAATCTTTTTTTTATGCCAAATGTTCAACACAATTACTGAAGATCGTAGGTCTTGGCGCAGGGCATGCTTGGTGAGAAACTGTCCTGGGAAAATATTCACGCTCTTCTGATTTATGATGGTTCCTCTGAAACTCTTTTTTTGCTAGCCGACAAAGTACGACACCTCAGGAGCGAAGTTTTCATTTCTTTTGTTTCAGCCATGATTCCTGAGAAGGTGTTTGAGTTGCTCACAATGGCTTCATGTAACGCAAGGAGTTGTGGAACCAGTAATAAATAATGATGAATTATATTTTTGTTTCAACAGAGCAGCCTGAGATTCACGCTGCCTTTATCTCCCACTGCCTGGAAGAAGAGTTTGAAAGTGAAGCAGGATAGTATTACTTTGTGAAGCGCTGCATTCTGTTAACGGCTCTGAAAATGCTTGACGCTGACACATCCGTGTGACACGATTCTGTAAAAAGGTTGCTAAGATTTCACTGACTGTCTGCAATGGTTCTCTTAGACAGAGACTGCGAAACAGCCCTTGCAACAATATCATTTTACATTCGTTGAAGTAGAGCCGCACTTAAGTTATTGCAGTGCTTTGATCGAGTTCTCTCGGGCTAAATCAGCTTCTACCTCAAGCTTAAATACGAAAAGATAGGACACCGTGTCATGCTATGATTGTCAAGTCGCAACCAGTAGAAAACTTTTGGAGATACGCCACATGTTGGAAGCTCATTTTTGAGTAATCGTATAAAAGTACATTCAAAAGGTCCCTGTTGTTCAACGATTTCCGCCTGGTATACCTTTGAACTTATCACGCAAAATATTCAGGACCAATAAAAATTTCGGAATTATTGTTTCTTTTTCCAATATATCAAAGTAACTATCCATATATAAGGTGATAGCGAGAGTGAGAGACAGACACCAGACAGCCAGATCGAAACCGAAAGCAGGTTAGTCAGGGCAAAAAGTAGCCACCTTGAGAACTGTGATTCCTTCTGCAGCTGCACTTATGATGGCATTCACTGCAGAAACAGCTTTGCCCACTGCGGCTCCACAAGCAGTGTTCGAGAGCACCAGAGTGCAGACCCTTTCGCACACTGAGCTTCTCAATGGTGAGTCTCATAACTTGTGGGAAGCTTGCAAGCATGCTGTTGCTCTGCTTCCCGACCTCGCACCTGAGTACTTCGCCAGAGCTGAATTCGAGAAAGGCTGGGGAGGCCCCGGCAGTATCGGCGTCTTCCACTTCGGACCTGGTAAGAACAATTTATGCTACCTTGAACAGTATGCACATTGAGCTGTGGAAGTATTGAAATCATCTGAAGTCATTTTCCGACAGTAGCAAGATTAAGTGAAAGACCAAATTTCTGTTTGTAGACACTCAGCAGCTAAACTTCACAGAGAGCCAAGTTTACGGAGCATGGTCTGGAAGATGAAACAGGGTGTGAACTTCTTCACTGCAAACTTGTGTCTGATTTTGAGTTGTGGTGGTAATTGCGCAGCGATTCCTGGAGCTGGATCCGTGAAACACCGTATTGACCTAGTAGACGATGAATCCAAAACTTTGGCGTACACAGTCCTGGGAGGGGATCCCAGCTACAGCTCATTTGCAGCGGAGATGAAGTTTTCTCCTGCCGATGACAACACGACGGAGGTGATCTGGACGGCCAAGTATGAGCCAGTCGGTGAAGCCGGCCCTCCCGAGCACATCAAGAAAAATGTCATCGTTACTCTGAAGACGTTCGAGAAGGCTGTGATGGAGAACCGGGTCGTGAGGCATACCCAAACACTGAACGCACCCGCCGACACGATTTGGAACATATTAATGCACGAGGATGTCATTCTTCCCAAGGTCATCCCACACATCATCGCATCCTATGAATTCCTGGAGGGCAACGGGGAACCCGGCAGCATCCGCCTACTCAAACTCGGACATGGTATGCACGTTGCAAGCATCCTCTGCAGAAAAGAGTGCTTGATTGATTGCTGCTGCAACCCAGAAAGTTGTCTTTAGTCTTATGTTCATGAACATGCTTAACTCAGTCCTGACTCTTGTTCCGCGAACTTCTGTGTGTTTGCAGCGATACCGAATGGGAACCATGTGGTGGAGCGCATCGATGTGAATGAAGCTGCAACAAAAAGGTGGGGCTATACTGTTCTGCAGGGAGACCCCAAATACAAATATCTCTCGGCAGTTATGCAATTCCTTCCCGGAGCGGAGGAAGGCACCACCCTCGCCAAGTGGGTAGGCATCTACGTGCCTCACAATCAAAACATCCCCCCCCCTGATCTAGCCCTGAATGTCTGGAAGGTTTTCGAAGGCGTGGCGAGAGCTTCCCCGCAAGCCGTCTACTGATCAGCTAAATATACCGTTTCCATCCAATTCATGAGTCGTCTTCACCATAGTATTATACCATCTACAGTGAATGAGGTACAGGAACCTGTCGTATAAAAGGCCAACATGTTCGGCTCTACACATGGAATGATTATGACAGTGGGGTTGATAACAAGCGAGTAGCTGAAAATTAGTTGAAAGAGTCACCACAGTGATTGGCAACATTGCATGTTGTGTACAAATTCCTTAACCCTAACGAAGTCAATTTACTTTCTTCAAGAATGGTTGCGATGCCTGAAGCTTGCAGACAGAACTAAGAGCAACTGCCAAGAAGAAAATTTTAGCAATTTGTTCATTGTGATCTCTTACACATGAATTCAGTTTTTGGGCTATGAGAGCGCAGACAATCAATCTTTCATCACAGGAATCCAACCAATCTTTGTTCTCCACTTCGTTCGGTGATTTTTGTTGGCAATGTGGTCCGAAGGTTCTACACATCTGGGAGTACGAGCTGACGAAACCGAGTACGTTTATGGCACTGATGTTGTTGGCCATGACTAAAACTTTGCATGCTGAGCAGCTTCCCGGACTTTCAGGTGAGGGCAACGTGCACTGTTTAAGCCACCAGGCAGCTCACAAACAATTACGAACAATCCACCACCTGAACGTGAACAAAGCCTCACCTTCAGTCCTCCTCTCCAATCAAATGCTAGTGGCGTGTTCGGCTACGACGTCGTTTCCCTTGCAGCTTTTGGAATTATTCCGAATCATGAAGGCTGCCAGAGAGTTGAACAGTTCACACGCCAGGAGCCATAACTGGGCCTCGTTACTGATGATTGTTTTGGCACCGTCCTCAGAAACACTTTCTCCATTCGTCACGCGGCTGCAGAGCCACACATGAGAACCTTCCATTACCACAAACCTCCTTCAATGTGTACTCCAAATAGTCAGGTCTTAACAACCAAAGACCATGGTTGACGTCAACAGTCAACGTTCATGTTTGCTATTAACCACCTTTGTCTTGGTATCCACCAATCAATAACAGATTTTGAAGGGACTAAGATTTTTCTATTTTTTTCTTTAGAATAAATTGTGCGTAGTTTTCTTCTAGTGCATTGAGCCATTGTCATACCATATATATATATATATATATATATATATATTTTGTCATTGTAGGCTCTATTTCAAATTGAGAATCCAATATGGTCAATATTTGGATTGTATAGCATAGATGCATTTTTTATGACTTTGTAACTGCCCACTACAAGGATAAAAAATTCATAAAATCTATGGAAAAATGTACTAATATGTTTTTTTTGTAAACAATGTAATTTTCAAAAAATCAAAAATTTTGAGTAGTAGTAGGAGAAGACAGAGATATATTATCCAAAGTCATAAAAAGTGCATAATTATTTTTAGATAGATTAGATCTACTTTGACTTTTTTTTTTCTAAAGTACAATCTTTTTATAATAAAAAATTCAAAAGTAGCCAAATTGTAAGAATATGAAGCATAAATATATTCAAATACATATGTAACACTTGGCACTTTAAAACAAAAGATAACAAAAATTACCACTTGGAAGGTTCTCCTTTATTCTAAAATTTCAAAACATTTATTATAACTTGTCTTCTAACTTTGACATTCTTTATTATAAGATTCTTTAAGGTTTTATTTTTATATGATTTTTTAGATTCATTTTTCAACTTTGATGTCTCTTAATAAAATTTTGGTCATTAATTGCATGTGTACTTTGTCTATTTTTAGACTCTAATATGTATAACTATTATTCACTATTTTCTTGGATATTAAACATAAAAACATATACACATATAAGTTCTAATTATTTTATGTGTATTACATAAAACTAAAAAAATATTTTAATATATATATCATATAAAAATTTAAAACTTAATTTAAGTTATTATAATAAATTAATTTTAATCTTAATAATAATATAAAAGTATTATTAAAAAAATCTTATTAATTTTTGTTATAAAATTTTATAAACCATCTGAGTTTAAAAAGATTAGAGTTGTACTATTCTAGATATTTAATTTACTAATTTAAATAAAAATTTTAAATAAAATTTATCCAAAAAATAAAATTTAAAAATTAGATATTTGAACAGACCATCAAATGTTTTTAAAAATAGAATTTAGTAACATTAATAATTTTAAATAAAATTATTATTTTAAAAAAAATAAAAATAATTTTTTAAAATATAAATAAAATTTATCGTCTTACATAAAATTTGTTCTAAATTAAGAAAAATAATAATATTTAAAAAATAAAAATGAATATATGTATATATATAAATATATATTTTCACAAAAGTTAAAACATATTTAGCAATTCAATACAATTATGAATCATAACAACACTTTAAAGAAACAATGTATTCTTGTGACATTCAAAAAAAGAAAGTAGATAAATAAAAGATAGATATAAGATAAAAATTACAATAGCTATTGTCAAATACAAGTATATTAGAGATTCTTGAAGTATGAAAAGAACACAAGACATTGATAAGAGTGAAAAAGGCCTCACTCTTACCTCTATATATACTATCTAATTAATAAATCATGCGACAAATTTCTATAGATCATTTGACATGAGTCCAACTTAGGAGATACATATCTAGGTTTCCAAATAAGTTTTTTAAATGCACACAATACAACTAACTCATACTATAAGTGGCCAATATGTCCAATACAAAGCCAACTTGTTGACCAATTGTTTAATCTATTAATCATTTACAAATACTTATAAAATCAAATCTACATCTATCATCAAATTTACTTACTTTTACTTCTATCTAAATCTTATAATGCCAATACTAATATCTTTCATATTACTTCTCTTTCTAGGGACAAGTTCTACAAGGAGCAATGATTACGTATTGAGGAGGTCTAAGGTATAGTAAATTATATTACTCAGAGACTTTGATCTTTGTCATTTTTAAAGGTAGTTGATAGGCCTTCTAAATCATTGATAGTATCTCATTCAAGAGCAAGATGACTATCATATTATTTGATCATTATTAGGACCTTCATAAATTCTTTTAAATAAAATATTTAAAACACTATCAAGAATAGTTCATATTTTTAAAATCATTAAAAATTATTAGTCTTTGCCAATATTTTCATATCAAAAGTTTTATATCTTGTAATTTATTTAAGGAATAATATGTTGTTCTTGAGGATCTTCATTTCTTTTACAATGTCTTAAAGGTTGAAACAATTCTAATACCTTGTCTAATAATTGTAACAATAATAGCTTCTTAGTTGAATTTAATGGTTATTCATTCTTCATCTCTTTAATCCACAAATACACAATAACCACAAACAATGATAAAAGATAGAGTACAATATTTATACAACTTATTTTGCTTTATAACAAAAACATTATTACTACTTTATCTTGATTTTGATAGATGTTGTTGATAAAAAAATATCAATCTTCTTTGTCGCAATTGCAAGTTTCTTGAATGGCTCCCAAGTATGTTTACTAATATCTTATCTGTACCAATGTATAAAATATTTCAATCTATATTAGAGCCACCTTAATTCCAAGACCTCTTCTATTTAAAATTGATTACTGTTGTCTACTTTTATAGGAGGATTCTGTATTTTTTTTTTTTTTTTTTTTTAACATATTCATTGTTTCTTATGGCTCAAGAAGAGACACATAGAACATGAAATGGGTCTTCATAGGCTATGATAGATGCAATTGATATATAATTGCATTGATCTCTTTACAAATAGAAAATAGTCTAAAGCTTATGTTATCCAACTTGTTATAAAGACAAATAGTTTTGACATTACATCGAAATAACCATACCTTATTGCTACATTGAAATTAAAATTGATACTTATAATTTATATCAATATTTTGTTTTTTTAAGCTTCCTTTAATTATGTCTTTATTTCTGTATGTAGCTTTCATAAACAATTTGATGAATCTTGTGTTCTAAGATTATCAACTTTTGACTAATAAAAAATATCAAATCATAGATGATAATTATAATTAGCATTGAAAGGTAATTATTAAATGGAAGAATGTATGTTGTTATTATATGCAAACTTTGTCAATAGCAAAGACATTGTCCAATTATATTGATGGTAGTTAGTGATATATTTTAAATATTGTTTCAAATTTTAATTTATGTAATTTATTTGTTCATTAATTTGATGATAGAAGACCAAAGATAGTTATATATCTACCTTTAATATTTTGAAAAGAGTTCTCTAAAACCTTGATATAAATTGGATTTTTTTAATTTGATATAATACACCTTAGCAATTTATAATAGCAATAAATATTATTAAAAAAAGAGTCTATTTATTTCTTGACTTTTATACATAACACAAAATGTGCCATCTTAATGAAATGTTGATTTCATTGCTTAAAGATAAAATTGCTTTAGCTTCAAAAGAATTATTTATTATTGATTAAAGCTACATTTCTATCTTCTAATGCAAGATAAGAACATCTAAAAAGAACATCTCACAAAACTTCTTGTATTCTTTACTAATATGTAATGTTAAATACAAAGCTTGAAAAAAACATGTTCTAATAACCTAAAAAAAATTTAAAATATACAATGACATAAAATATTTGAGGTTCTTGTGATTTGTATAAACAATGAATGGACTAGAAGCGCCTTCCAAATAATAATGCTATACTTGAAATTAATATATAATTGCAAAAAAGTCTTTGTTGTAAATTTTGTAAATGATCTTATTTGTTATAAAAATTCTTGAATGAAAGTATATTCAATGAAGTTAAACACATGAAAAACATAAAGTACATACTCTTTTATATTCTTAAAGAAGATTAAAATATTTTATAGATAATAAATAATAAAATTCTCTAAAAAAATCTTTAAAAACATCATTTATTAGATGTTCAAAAATAGTTGGCACATTTGTGAGTCCAAAAAACATGACATTATGTTTATAATATCCATATTCAATTCAAAATTTAGTCTTTTATACATCTTCTTCTTCAATGTATATCATTTTTTATGCTCTTTGTAGATCTATTTTAATATAAATCTTCAATGAATTTACTTAATCAATCCTTTTTTTAATTTCAAAGATAAAGTACACTTAATCTTGATAATAATTCTCTTGAATTAACAATGATCCATGCACATTTATAGAGATCCATCTTATTTCTTTACAAATAAAAAATGGACTCATAATAGAAGTTTTGAATGGAGAATGAATTTCTTGGCCATACAATCCTTACGTGAAGCCAACTCATTTTGAAATAAGCCGTAGATTAGACAAAATAGCAAGCAAATTCCTTTTGAAAAATTAATTGTGCAATTATAAGAATAAAGCTTTGAACTATTATCTATAATTATCTTCTAAAAACATTGTGACAATCATTAGATTAATTTAAAATACAAATTGAAGTCCATTAAAAATTAAAAAGAACTACCCTATAAATATCAAGAGCTAACCATACTTTTATAACATCAATCCAATCCTTTAGACATATAAATAAAAATAAGTTAAGGAGACATTAGAACTTCTTTTAATTTAGCAAAGGACTTACTTATAATAAGAACAAATTCAGAAAAACTTTAGATTTCACTTATATTTGTAATTTACACATACACACAGATATATATATATATATATGAATAAATATAAGAATCCAAATACTTTTAGTAATGAAAAAAATAAATGAAATGTAAATAAAAGAAAATAATATAAAAATCAAATAAACCTCTATGGCATTTAAAAAAATCAGTTGAATTGACTATATTCTATGGAAGTTTTTATAAAAACCTATGACCTTTATCTTCATCATCACAAAGTTTCTTATATCTTCCCTAACTTGCCATAGACCATTATACTTTATTTCTACATATTCAAGAGTATTATCCCTGTTATAGGTGTGAAGTTTTTGAATATGTAATTTCAAATCTCAAATCCAAAACAGAAAAAAATGATGTGTACAAACCCAAATCAAATCATTTCTCATCAAAGTGAAATTTTATTTCTACTCTCCTCAAAAGACTAGAAAATCAGATCATATTGTGAAACGAGTGATAAACTGATTAATAATTCTTTTCACTTCATACCACACCAAAACAAGAAAATCTAGTCATGAAAGGGAGGCTTAAAACCATCAAACTCATTGGCACTTTAGAAATCATCGTCATTCCTGAACACTGCAGCTATATCATTACAATTTCAATCAAATTAGCATGAATTACACCAATCCAAAATGATTCATGTGGGGGAGTGGCAGGCGTTGAAGTCTGAAGTTACTTCACTTTATTCAGCGCGAGCCATAATATCTCTTGCATGCTTGTTCGAGCACTGGCCATGCCAAGTATGGACTTGGCATTGTTGCAAAGGGCTGCTGTGCCGCAAATGAGCCATGCAGCATCTCACGTTGTCACGCAAGATAATGCTTCACGATGTCTACCAATACACTTAGAATCAACTCTGCGGCGCCAGGAAGGGGTGTCTGTGAGGTCGATGGACATGCCAAACCAACTCGTCACACTCGGGCACCATCCTCCGGTCTAGCGGTCGATCAACATAACTACGTACCTACTAGCATCTCGTCTACGCTGATAAACACGAGATCGTGAACTTCCAACTCGTGTACCATACCACAGCCAGCTTGGGTAAGTGGCCTCGTGGTAGCGGTTGCATAGCATAGCCTACAAAAAGAAAACACCTATCAACGCTTCGCTCGTTACAAGCTGGCAAGGATGTGGAAGCTTGTTCGAGGAGGTTGCACATTTCTGTGCTGTATGAAGCGGCACCTAGAAGAAAAAACGTTTACTAAGTCATCGTAATCTGCGGCACACCCACAAACACGTCTACTCTGAACACCGTGCTTCTGGCGTGCCGCAGTTTGTTACTCCTGCCTTACAAGATGGACGTCTCCGGGCTACTACAGGCGCAGCCTCTGCGTGTCCGTTTGAAGAAAAAAAAACACACACTGGGTCACTTGGTACATGTTCTGCGTCACCACACACCTCGTGGTGCTCATCGTACAAGAAAGTCGGCGATCGCCCCTACAACATGAGGGGACCCGCGCTTTTGGTGATGGCGGGTACCATGTCAGCGGGGCGTGACGAGGTGCTGTAAGCCTTGGCGTAGACGCTGGCGGAGGTGGCCTTGGCTCCGGAGCCAGTGAAATACGACCCTCCCAGGAAAACGTCGCCGCTGGAGGCCCAGTTCCAACTCTGCCATCCACCGTAATTGGGGCCGCCGTCGTTGATGCGTTTGGTTACCTGCAATTCCAGGACGCTCAGGTCAGACGACATGGCTCACTCTGGGGAACGGCACGCATTGTAAAACAAAGCTCCCGCGCAACCTCAGCAGGCAAAGACGTAGTGAATACCTCTTTCGTTCCCGCAGGATTGAATCGATTGCCTTGGCTGAGAATGGTGGGATCTTCGCTGCCCCCAATCGCATATATCCCCCATCCGGCCGAGTAGTCATTGTTCAAAACATGAAACACGCCAAACCGGCACCTGCATTCTCAACACACACTAATTACTCAACTGCCTCATCCATGAAGGTCCGTGGCCAGCGAGAGCATATGTGTATCATTAGCAGACACCATTTCATCGCCAATCAACGCGCGGTGCCATACCTCGGTAACCGTTGGACGAGGCCGGGTCCGAATCTGTTGAAAGCCACGGTGACCCGCATGTTCCTGTCCTCGGTGTGGGCGGGGTCCGCTCCAAGCAGCATCGTCTGCAAACCAGACCAGTGTGCACGATTTCAGAAACAAGCGACTATACTTCCCGGTTCTAACCCTGCAGGTAAGGTCATGTCCACGACGCAGGCGCTCGCGTGTTACGCCCAAACCGCACAGAACGTCGCTTCGGAAGGATTCATTACCTTGTCGTGTTTTTCAAGGAAGCAGTTGGAAATTGTGACCATAGTGGATCCGCGGGTGACATCAATGAGCCCATCGGTCGCCCTGGCCAAGTAGCAGTGGTCGATCCACACATCCCGGGACCCCCAGATGTGAAGGCCATCGCCCTCGGACCTTGGGCGGCGGACCACTTTGGATGGCGACACTCGTATGGTGGTTGGGCCCGACGGTCGAATGTCGTGAATGTGCAGCCCGTGCAGGATGACGTTGTTGGTGGTTTGGATGCTGATCTGCGAGCCTCCCACGATGTGAACTTCGGCGCCACGACCGTCCAGGGTCTTGTACGCGGAGATCCAGAGCTCTCCCTTCAGTTCGATGGTCATGCTCGTCGCGAAAACAATCCAAAGCGGTCCGTTTCGAGTCACTCCGTAGCGCAGTGTTCCCGGCTGAGGGTTCTGCGCGTCATCTCCATTGGTGGTGACTGTGTAGATGGGTCCATTCTTGCCGCCGATGGCATTTCTCCCGAATCCGGTGGCGCAGTTGGCCAGCGCCTGACGATGGCTGCGCCAGTTCGGGTCGCACCGCCAGCAATCGTCGATCGGGTTGCCAGTACCGCACCCGCCCATGGCCTTCGCGAAAGAAGAGAGCATGTCATCCGCGTCCGTGGCATTCAGGTCAGCAGCAGCAAGGCTCAATCCACTGTCACACATTCACGCAACAAACAAGCCGTGACCATCAGAAGACAGAGCGCATTCTCAGGGCAGCCACCATCGAGCACTCAATAGAACTCCACCAGATTTCGAGAAGCAAATCGTAATTTACTCGGTGCGCGGCACGTAAATGGAGCAAGGAACTGAACGTGGACGTACTCATCGTTGGCCTTGTAAATGATGTCCGCAGCAGACGTGTCGTAGAAGACCTCATCGTTCATGTAAGCAGCTTTGGAGTGGTACACGACTTCGCCTGCGAAGCTGGTGGAAGGAGGTTCTCGTACGCTCTCTGGAGAATCGATAAGAACGTCGTATGGTAGCTCGCCCTCGGTCGCTGCGTAAGAGTTGTATTGTGCCACTTCTGAATGTGACGCCACCGGGTCCTGGCTGTTGAAGGTTTCGGCGTCCCAGTTGGTAGCATCCGAATTGTCAATCTCGGGGTTGGAACCAAACGCATCGCCTGTCTGGGCGGTGAAGACGGGCGTGTCGAATTGAGCGCTGGACCCGGTGTCTTGGGGGAATCCCGGGTACTCCTGGTCAGTGGGAACATACTCCAGAGTGTCAAAATCTCCCGGCATTGACCTCGCGTGGGGAGACGTCCACTGCAATGCAAGCACCATCAGCACCGTCAACAAACGCGCCATTCGCCCGCTCGCCATTCTTGAGGTCGATCTTGAGGCAGGCTCGACTTGGATCCTCTGTTGGCAACACTGGGAACCTGAAGTCTGAACCACAAATTCTCTGTGAGTCACAAGTCTTCCGAAATGCCTTTGAACAGCGTAGCCGAATGAGGCCAGGTGTAACGAACATGGACGCCATGCGGCAGTCTAAAACATCAGCCGCCGCAGGTGCGGCCACAGTTGAGCATTGCGCTGCATCCAACAATCCGCGCAGGATCCGCAACACACAATTCACAATGCAAGGAAGAGTTGGAAGAAATTGCCCACCACATTCTGGTCAGGTAAGACAGAGAAGTAAGCAGCAGAGCATGCATTAGGACCAGAGCTTACTCACGTGGAGAACAAGTCGATGGAAGCAGTGCACTTCCTGTGAACGCCCGCAGAGCTTCACTTGGAACCTCGACTCAATCCTTGGTCCTGTGTTTGCACCTTCTTGCAGAATGTGAACATTACACTGCTCAATCTCGATTCATGAGAACGCAGTACCACCGCTCTCTGAGGTTCGAGCTTGGTTTCAAGCCCCGAGATCACATCCAGCTCCCCCTCGGGTCAACCTTGGTGCATGTCGAGAGCGAGATGGTCATCGAGCCCAAATTCGGAGGTTATGTAGTGCGCGACGGTATGTTCCTTCGATTCATGAACGTGGGTAGAGATGCATACGGCGTGAATTTCTGAATTCAATTTCGTAGCGCGGAGGTTGATTGCAAGTCACCGCAACTGCTTTTCGGCTGATTCACCCACTCAGACACCCTAGGCTAGCGTAACAAAGTGGCCAGTGCCATTTACAATGCGTAATTCGCTGTTCCACCATCGATCTATTGCGATTCCAGGCGAAAAGTTCGGACGGTTTGTCCTGCAAGGTAAATTAATGAGGATTCGAATTGCGAAATACTGGCCTCGTCAAATGGTTGCGGCGGAAATGCGAAATAGTTGGGCAAAATGGAAATCTATCAATAGGCGGACTCCGGACTCGCCTGACATGTGCAGGGTGAGTGATGTTCGAGGCTCCGTCTGCCTGTCGGAGCTAGACTGAGGCCCAACCATGTCGGCAGACTTTCTGACGATGTGATACAGAGTTGGGTAGCCAGCTCTGCGTGCATGTGGCAAGTTCTGTCGTGAGACCAAATGTGAACGCTTCGGAACATGGATCATGACCCGGATTCGTCGTTGGGGTTCCTTCAGGTTCGAGCTGGCTTGGGAGGCATTCTATCTCCAATCCCAGATGCATGTTGATGCTGCAAATGGGATTCCGGAGGGACTTCTCCCACTACCTTGTCGAAGCAATCCAGCGTGCGGCGTCAACGGATGAGGCTATCCCTGGTGTTACAGAAACACGAAAGTTGGTAAGGATTCCACATGCAATCGGATTTCCACACATTCTGCGCCCGTAAGAACCAATTTGTGCCACTGTTTTTGTGTAGGGCAGCGCAAATTCAAGATCGAAGTTGTCGAAATTTGTGCGGCCGCTGCTGCTAAACTCCCGCGCCACAGTCGTTTTGCGCCGTTAGCAGCCGATGACATCCTCACAATCACTGTGTCCAATAAAGCTCCGAAGCTGTTCATGAAGAAGTGCAACTAATTTACTTGTGGGTTAGAGATGCTGTAAGTCGACTTTTTTTCTTTCTGATTCGCTGAAAATAATACTCTCACGTTTCATCCCCTAACTGCAAAACTTGGTCACTCTTTTCAAGAGAATGGTCAAATATAAAAATATAAAATTTTTATTCTAATATAATATATTATTTATTTACTTTCTAAATTTTTACTATACATAGCAATATTAAAATAAAGATGTTTCATAAGGCATATAAAACAAGAGAAATTAGAGCTTTAAAAATTTAAAAAATTTAAAAAGATTTTATCTATTTTATAGCAAAATTCTATTTCCATATTATATGTGTATTATCAAATTTAGTCTTAAGCAATAAGCACACCCCATATTTCTATGCACACACCTATTATGTGTATACACACATAAGGCCTTGATTGGATGTTCCAAACTCCATCTAATACTGGCCCAAGTCTCAATCCTCTTCCCTTCTTCCTTGCCTTGGTGTTTTCTTGTCCTTCCTTATCGTTGCATAGGTCTTAGTCCCCTCCTCCCTCTCCTCTTTGTTTTGGGACAAAAGAGAAGGATAAGATAGAATTGAGACTCATGCTTAGACAAAAAAATAAAAAACAAAAAATAAATTAGGATCCATATAAGTACAAGGAAGAAAGGGTCTATAGCAGCCATTCAAAGACCTTTGGTGTGTGTATGAACATAATGGGTAATCATATAGCAATTGGGGGTGTGCTTATAACTTAAGCCTTAAATTATTATGAAGCTAAAAATTTAATAAGTCCAACAAACACTTAATTTGATGATTTATTGTATTGACAATGCATTGTAAAAAGTGTACAAAACTATCATCTTTTTGATAAAACAATGTATATCAACTATTGCTTCCATCAGCTAGAATAACACCTAAAAGTTTCAAAAGATACTTTATGAAGCTGTAACCATAACAACCTACAATCATAATTCATGTAAGTTTTACAAGAAATGTCTCCAAGTTTTGAATAAGAAACTAATCGAAATACATGTGTATATTCTTTTCATGCTCAAACAACACGAGTATGCACTTATACAAAACTAAAAAACAAAATCTATCAAATGTACACATGTAGAGAACCAAGATCAAATCAGAAACTTTAACATTAGGTTGGATGGATGAAGTTTGACCAGCTAATCGACATTGCAGACGTGGAAAGTTAGTCACCACGTGGAACCCTGTGAGTGGCACGGTGACAACAGCATGTGAAACATTCAATCCTCGCACGGTTTGTAGGAATGGAAACCCTGGGAACCGGTTTCACACGAAGGCAGTGGACGATGGCCGACGAAGGTCGGCCATCGCGACGTTCGAGACAGACACACAGATCCTCGGGGCTCCGCGCTCCCCTGTTGTGTGGAGTATGCCTTTGCTTGCTTGAATGCAGCAAAGCGACGAGCGCCAAACCCTAGAACTACGTCTCCTTGCAATCTTCGATCTCTGCCTCCATCCCTTGGGTGTAGGAGCAGTTTGCTTATTCCTGCTAATTCTCGCCCTCCTTTTCTGCCCACTTGCAGGAGGAATTTCCGATTCGCCATGCTGGTTCTGGAGCTCGTGATGTGCAGAGTCTGAGCTATGGAGTTTGTGTGAGGGACAATTTCAGATCGAGCGCAACCGCGGCATTTCGAGCCGTCGATTGGTCTACCACATTGTATTCTTTTGTGTGGATTTTGGTGCCGGGCTAAGAAGGGGCGAGATACAGCGGGGCGGGGAATTGTGTTGCGTGAGTGATGGATGCGCAACACGCTCTGAAAGGGCGGCAGAAGGTGAGAGTACAATGCCAACAGAAAATGCTGCCGTGGTTGGATTTGCTTGCGTTCGTTGCTTGTTTGGGATCGGTTTCAAGCTGCATATTTGTTTTGATCGCGGTGATTTTGTGGAGCTGTATAAAGCTTGATGTGTGATTGCGCTGCAGTGTTTAAACAGCATGTGTTTGTGTAGTGGATTTCTTATAAACTGGCAGTTCGAAGGACCTAGTGGTAGTCTATTGGTAATATGTAATTCATAGACAAACCGATTGACCATGAGTGTGTGACTGTACCTTCGTTTAGCGTTTCCATTTGATGAGGCAGAACAATTTTTTTGTGGAATAGCCACATTGCATTGACAGGAGGTTTTATGCGCTTTTAATTGTAGCGTGGAAAATTCATATGCTGTAGTTCCTTTGTTAAGGACGTTTTGCGGAATTGCGTTGTATTCCTCTCTACTGTAAAACATGAGCTTAATCCCCAAGTAGGGCGAATGAAGGTGGTAATTACGCCATGCATTCTCTGATGGCTTGAATTATGAATTGGTACCATAACCTCATGCTTTTTCAGCCTGCCTGTACCAATTTTTAAGTGCAGTACAATCGACTATTTCGGTGTATAACGTTTAGGTGCTTGTACCCCTTTTCAGCTTGAGGACTTGCGTCGCAAGAAAGCAGCGGCATTGTCAGGTGACTGCTTTTGTCTAAATTCCAAGAAGGGCTTGTCTAGCATTCCTACGATCTAAAATTATGACATTTGTTTCAGGCAGCTAACAAACTGGAACTTTAGAGACTTGACATTACTCGAGAGGCAAACAGAGCCTAATATTTGTATTCTGATTTTATCTTTCCGTGCATTCCTTGATTACGTCTTCCTGTGCATCGAGGTGAACTGAGTTTGAGCGATTTGGACGGAATATTATGTGCTTGTCTCTCCTTTCTTTGTTACAATTGGGGTTGATAGGCTACCTGCATTTTCTTAGGTAATGGTGCCCAAGGGGAGCTGGAAGCGATGACAATTCGAGTTCAAAATCTAGAGGAAAAGGTCAGTGACTGGTAGTGTCGCACATTGTTTACAAACGATGTGTGGGCTTCATATTTGTCCGTCTTCTTCGTGGTTGAAATTTTCTTGAGAGTGCCTCAAAGATCACCTCCTTTATCATTCAGATCACCGCTGCTAAATATTCATTGGCGACACAGAGTTCCAATATGCTGGATGGTTACAATCATTTGTCAACTTATTTACATCTAGTTTGTATCATGCAGTTACAACAAGTAGAAGCAGAACGGGATTTATTACGTAAGCAAAAGGAAGAGGCTTCGATGAGAGTTGAGAGCCTTCAAGATGATCTTGATAGAGCTCGCGGTCAAGTTTCTCAAGTACTAACGATGTTTCATTTTTCTTTATATGTATTCGAAATCGGTCATTCAAATGCAAAAAATGAGAATTTTCAATCCCTTATAGTCGAGAAATCAGATGTCTTCTATTGTATATAGCATAATACTAGCATCAGTTGAAAACTTAAATTCAGCTGAATCTTATGCATAGTGCGACAGTTCACAATGATCTCTTGACATGGAACAGCGTAATGAATGTGTTGGTGCTGATTAGGAGCAGCGTGCTCTGTATTGTTGACTGTATGTTCGTGGACGTAGCATTTTGTTGATAAGATGATGGAACCTTTGAATTTGCAGGATGAGAAAACTGTGACAATGTTGCGAAAATCCCTTGACACTATTACTATGGAGCGAGATGCTGCATTTATATCACGGGTAGGTTTCGTAACGTGGGTTCTTTATGGAATCTTGAATAATATGTAGCACATGTATAATGAATGAATTATATCTTCTTCTTTGCTTTTCTTTTTTTATCATGCACAAGGCATATATTAAATTTGAAAGTTTGGGTAGAGCAGGAAGACATGGTTGCGCAACTACGGCTTACGAAGAGAAGATTGCAAGAGGCAGAGGAAGAACAATATAAGGTCAGTAATGAGTTCTCTGTTTCCTTCTTGGGTGGTTTTTTCAGAGGTAGTGTAAAGACTGCCGTAGGAGCTGCTTTGTTGCTGCGCACCGAACACGTAGCATTGAAACTTTTATTTTCTTTATTTTAGGTCTCTTCTGTACCAGCGGCAACACCTTAGTTTTCTTACTGTTGATTTATTTATCCATTTACTTACAATTTTTTTTTATGATTATTTTACCAAGTGTGTTTTTAACACACTCGACGGAAACATGGAGCAGTCTGGCAGTTGTGTCTTGTGTCATGAAGTACGTGTGCATATTCTCATTGACTGACTTCTTGTCATCTTGATGAGCTTCTTTTAGGCTGAAGAGGACGCGGCAGCTTTAAGGGCTGAAATTAAGTTGCTTCAGGCAAGTGAGGATCAATCTGAAAGTCTGGGGGCTGTGGCAGAGCAACTTCGAGTTGCAGAGCAACATAATAATGATTTGCAAAAGGAGCTCCAGGTTAGATTTCTGCAGATGTTTACGGTTGTGGCAGTTTTTGTGAGCTTCTTGTATTTTGGAGGCATGATGAATTGTTAGGGAAACAGCATGAGATGGCAAGGTGTTCGTTACTATTTTTAAATTCCACCTCGACTTTTCACCTTCCAGTCACTGACCTTGTGTATTAAAAGAATAGCTTTCACAACGCATTATCAACCACTTCTCATTCACCCGACGAAGAAGTCATTCTTTAAGAATCCAATTGCAACTCCCAGCAGCTCCAATATTTTTGGAGTATTAATACTGTGTATCTCTCACCAGGAGGTGATGTTGAGACTTCAGCAAGAGCAACAGAGGGTATCAATGGAACGTCAAAGATCTGCCAACATAAGTGCCATCAACGAAGACCTTCAAAATGAGCTTGTGATTTTGAATACCAAACTTGCTGGTGAATTTCATCAGTTCTTGATATGTGCTGATATTTTTAGAGTTCTTTTTGAAAAACATTTCTTACTGTGAGTGCGACATTTGTTCAAACCAAATTTACAAGCAATGTTTTATTGCAGACAATGTTTCAGACCTTGTACAATTTTTTGACTTAGTCATAATGTCAGAAATTTAAAAGCATGTGAGTTTTTGAGTGTGTGGATGCCAATTCCCACAATGTGAATGGTGTTGATGCGCAGAGATGGAAGAATCTAAGAAAACCCGCAGCAGTGTGACCGTTCCATTCACTGAATCGGCACTTGCAGATTCAGCAACATCTACAGTACGTACTTTCTTACAAAGCGTAGCAGAATTAACTACGTTCAGTATTGCATGCACACACCACTTCAATGAAAGTGTGGTCAAGTGCTTGCGAAATTTCAATGTGCATCTCACCAGTCATCAATATCTGTTTTAATTATTAGAATGTCAACAACATTGACAAGTGTTATGCTTCTCAAATGTAGGGTGGCTTGGCTTCTGAGACAAAACTATTGTCCGATGAGATAGCCAAGGTATTGAAAACCATCACTTACTGTCCTTGACGTGTTTGTTTTTCCAGAGTCATTGCCATATGTTCAGTTGATGGTTGTTGTAAAATTCCCAGGTCTAATCTATTAGGCAACTAATCTTGTATTACTGTTTGCTTTTGCATGATACAGGAAGAGAAAGCTGCTCTGGAGACAAAGCTTCGAGAGCTCGCTGATATGGTTGAGCGGCAAGAAAATGGTCGGCAGCTTTTACTTGCTGAGGTATTATTTAGTTTTTATGTCTTTTCTTTTTGGAAGTTAGCAATTGGGTACTCTTGGGAGATTGCAGTACTTCGGATTTCTCAAATGGTGGTTTTCAGAGAATGCGTTGATACCTATTCAGTTGCCTGTTAATTCATAACCATTTGAGAGGGTGTATGTTTGCAGATAGACAAACAGTCTCTAGAAATAGAACGGTTGTTTGTCGAAAATGAAGGTTTAAGAGCAAGCGTGAAGCAAACAACTGAAATTGCAGCACGGTGGGAAGCTCAGGTTAGGAGTTAGCTTTTTAATCCGTTCCTTCTCGTACTTTTACCTTTTCGATCTAGATTTGTAGCGAGATCTAGGGTATGAAACTGTGCGTTTAGTTCTTCCGTCGATAAACTGACTTTTCTCTGACGATTTGTGGTAACTCCTTTGTTTGGAACATGTGTAAGGTGCAAGACTGTTTACTGCAAAACAATGCACTGCGGGTTTTGTTGAATCGATTACGCCTAGAGCAATCTTCTACGATTCCTTTCTCTGAAATTGGGACTTCAGGCGCAGAGGTCCATGTTGAAGATGGTGGTTCTGATAACAAATCTGCATCAGAGAACTGGCCGGCTGAAAGAACCAAACTCAAGGTAACGTCAATTCCTACAACTAGGAAGATTGTCATGCTGGAAGAGTCTTTTCTTGCGAATGTATTTTTAAGTCTACAAGAATCTCGGGTTCTAGAATACCCGAAATATTTTCTTGTTCGGTTTTCGATGTCCTTGTAACGTTCACATCAGTTTAGCTGCTTGTGGATCTCATCTGTATCTTGTTGTTTCACCAACTTATGCTCCTGAACAATTTTACATGTGTTACACAGATTGAGTTGGCCGAAGCATTAGGAAGATCTGAGGAACTGAGTGCACAGATGGCGCAACAGTCGGCTGATCTGACTCGTGCTGTCCAGGCATTAACAAGTCTCAGCAGTTTGTAAGTTTTCTACTGTTAACATTGTTGTTCTTTAGTCGCAGAGTAATACAGAATGAAGTCATTTGATTTTTCTCGAGTTTGCATCTCAATATTGACTTTGGGCTTGTGCAGGTACAAACCTGTTTTATCGAGCATTGAAAACCGGTTAATGCAAATTCGTCAGGAGGCGCCCGATATTATTAATGCTGACATCTGAGTTTTAGTTATATCGGTCGTGGCAAGGGCTCAGAGGCTCAAACATCAATTCATCTTAGTGTAATCAGCTGAACTGCTGCTAGTTTACTTGCAATGAAAGTGGTCGTCGGCATCAGTAATTAAGAGGACACCATGCTACGTAGTAGGTTGAAGCGATTCTTTTGAATGAATCAGTTACAACTGCACTGTACCTACGTCACATGTGCAGGGCGCTGTCTAATTGGTTTTTATGTCATGAGCTTTTTTTCAAACGCGAACAAAGGTGAACGAGTGAGGCAGCGGCATTGGCAACACAAATTACTAGGCGATGGCACATGGATGCCTCTTGAAATAATATCTGTTATTCTTCGAACAAAGAATTTGTTACTCGTGCTTGTTGATATGTTGCATGCACACACACTGAAGATGATAATAATATCTGTAAGCTTCATTCAGAAACTAAGAATAGAGCGTGATGAAGTGGAGTACTATACTGCAGGGAGCAATGGTCCGTTACCGGAGTTCCTTTCAACCACGGTTTTTCACATGTAGTTCTACCTCTTTCTGTGTTCTGACGTCTCTTTGTTCACAAGTTTGTCCAACTTAGGCTTGTATACAGGGACGTTCAAAATTTGCTTCTTTAGTACATCAATTGTATTTTTTTATTTTTTAAATTTTTTTACTTTTTATGTTTTATGTAAATTAAATGAGGTAAGAAATTTAATTATTGCAAAAAACTTGTTTTCATTACATTGTCTAGTAATGGTCTATTCCATTTATTGACACTTGAACTATCATTCAAATTGCAAGTTGTGTCAAAATTATACAAATTCTTTAATAAAATGTTTTTTCTATAGCTAAGGCTATAAGTACATCCTAACTTGCTACAAACAAACCTACAAGCAAACTTGCTAATATTGTTATGTACACATTCAAAACATGTTGAGGGTTGTAATTGGTAAGGTGATATAATGTAAATCCTACCTCTTGATACAAAATGTGGAGGTGAAGGGAGGCAACAACCATCCTGCAATGGTCCCATTGATTAGTTAGCAAACATGATTAAGAGATAGTGCCCCTTATGAGGGCCTCTAGCGGTGTTGTTCTTAAAAGAAAATTTGAAACTAGACAAGATTTTCATCAATTTAAATCCATACAAGGTTCTCATCAATTTGAATCCTATGAGTGTAAAATTCACTTGTCAACCAATCACAAGATGGCCTCAATTAAGAGTTGTTTGTAATGGGTGGTGTGAAGTGGAAGTAGCAAGAATAAGAACAAAGGAAGCAAAACAAAAAAGAAGTGGAATAAGTGCAATCAAGTAATTGTACACTACAAAAACTAGTCATAGTTTGTTCACTAAGTTTTCATCCAATAAAAAGTAAAAAGTAAAAGTAAAATATATATTTTTAGATTTTTTTTTTTTAATTATCTTTCTAATGGTGTAAGAAACATGTAAATTCAAATTACTATGAATAAGTTATGAATGTTTGAAAAAATAACAATTAAATAAATAAAAAAATTAAATAAATAATTTTTACCTCAAGCATAACTTGCTTAAGAGATGAAGAGTTCGAGCCTCACAAATACTCACAATTAGTGTATATGGCTTTTTAAGAGAGGCAACGAGGTCTTGGTTTTATCTTCCCAACTACCTTCAAGGTGTTACAACTCATATGAGACTTGTACACTTCCTTGCTTATAAGGACTACACTAGCTACTAGTCCTCCTACTTTCTACTAGTAAAACCAATAATTTTGTATTTTTGACTTCACCATAGTATTTATAAACATCCAATTAGTCTAGGAACTTGATGTGGCTTTCAAATCTTACTCCATTTCTTCATAATGGCTTCTCAAGTTATAAAACTCATTTTTACCAAAGTCTTGAAAATTGCTCTAAAAATTCTTAAAAAATTCTAAATAAATTCTAAATAAATTCTAAATTTTATTTATAATATTTCTATAATATTAATATCATTTTAAGGCTATAATTTCTAATCTTGATGATTTTTATAGTAATAAAATTAATTTAAATCTACTATAAATCATACTTTGTATATAACTAACTAAAAAGACATGAAATTCTTTCTCATGCTTCTTCTAACTACTAACTAACATTTATAGTTTTTCTTGTAAGTAATATATATAGATAGAAGGCCAATGTAAATATTGATCTTAGTAAATATTCTTCAATATTCAATAATAAATAAAAAAAATATTAAATCAATAAAGATAATTGACTTCAAGTCTTGCTAAGATTCCATTTCTTTTCCACTAATACTATTTTCTTTCATTTAATATCTTCTAAACACATATTTACCTAAAAATTATAATTTTGATACTCTACATGTATTCTTTTATCTTAAAAAAATTAGTAAGTCAATTTGATGACTCAAAAATCTACACAAAATTTGATAGCATTATAAGTAGTTTCAATAATACTAAATGCCATTATTGTATTACATATGTTCTTATATGAGAATACAATAGACACCTTATTATGGAAGGTAAGTAGAAATGTATTAACAATTTTATCAAATTTAATAGAATTTTAAATAAACTTTAAATAATCCTTAGTAATAAATATCAAAATTTAATTAATCTAAAATAAATTTAAAAGAAATTATAAAAGAACACAAAGAAGTCATAGTTAATCTTTATAAAAAAAAATTTAAAAAAATTTAAAAATAATAATAACCCTTAAAAGTATTAAAAACAAAAAACCCATATAAATCTTTAATAAATCTTAATGAAATTATAATTTAACTCTAATTGAAATATAATTAAAATCTTAATGAATTATAACCAAATCTTAGGTCTAATACTAATTAAAATCCTAATTGAAGTTCTAATGATATTTAATTAAATTCTAGATCAAATCTTAATGAAATCCTAATAAAATCTTAGATCCTAGACAAATCCTAATCAAATCGTAAAAAAATCTTATTCAAACCATAATAAAATTCTAATAAAATCTTAATCAAATCATAGATAAAATTTAAATCCTAAGTAAATCCTAAAAAATCTTAATAAAATCCTAGACTCTAAATCAATCTTAATCAATTTTTAATGAAATCCTATATCTTAAATAAATTATTAATAAATCCTATAGTAGATTAAAAATTCAATAACTATTAATTGAACAATTGATTTTGACTCAAAATTTTCACACCTTGCAAAAATTAGCTTAGAAATAAACACAAAAAATTTGAAAAAGATTGCATATACCAAATAGACAATAATTCTAAAACTTTGTTGAGGGATTGGCCGACCTCCTTCTCCAAACTTGATATTAATATTCCTAAACCATGAATACTTAATTTTATCATTGAATTCATTTTAGACTTTTTACAATTTTCGAAAATAAAACTAGGTATCTTTGAGCAAAATTGTATTTCAATCCAATTGGCAGATTGATAGATATTTTAGAAATCTTCACTAGTCCTCTAAATTCTAATTTCCAAGATTATAATCCATACAAATTCTCATATTCTTCAATTTCATTGTTCAATCGATTTCAATTTTTTCACACTCATTTACAAGAAATTTAAAAACAAACTCTCTAATTTTCACCTATAAATACACTACAAAACTTGCAAAATCTAGAAATATATAATCTTGTTTTTATTTTTCAAAATCCAAATCCACTAAGTATATTACAAACTTTGAAAATTCTTCAAAATCTCGATATTAATCCAAATGACATGAAAATAACATTTTTTTTTTCTTAAGTCTGCTATCAAATTATACTCTTTAATTAATAAAAGAACCTTAAAGTCGTTGTAGGTATGTGGTTTTGTAACTTGGGATTTGATTTCAACCAAAGTTCACAATTGGTCCTCTTTGGATATCAATTCTTAGTAATTTGAGGTGATTTTTTTTTAAATCTATTATTACTTCTTTATTAAAAATACCTATATTATTTACTGATCTCATTTATTTTCATTTGAGGCTTCTATGTTGTTATAAGATAAATAGAAATTCTTTCTACAAAAGGTAGCATTAAGACTAAATTTTTTTATTATTTTTCTATTATTTATCTTTATTTTTCTACTTCATCTTTCAACTAGGTTTTTCTATAATAATATCCATATTTTTATTTTTCACCACATAGCCATGTCACTACATAACAAAATTAGAGAGGGACATTGTATATTTGGAAGTAATGGATTTGTCCTTAAATTTCTTCCTTTGTTAGTTAAAAATATGAATATCTTTTTATTATTTATTATTTTTATTTTTAAAAAATATTTATTCTTTAGGATGTATTTTGGATTAATATGTAAAAATGTCTATATATATAAAATTTCTTTGACAATTTACTTTGTTATTGAGAAGAAAGTTTAGTATAAGATAAATGTAATTAGTTCATATGAGCTGCCTTAAATTTGAAATGTTTCTTATCAAATATAAACATTGTTATTGAAATCTAAGATTTAAAACAAGAATTAAAAGAGATTGAAAAATAATTTTCTAAGTGTGAAAATTCTTGTTAAGAAGTTGTGAATTTCCTATGTAGTGCCATTGATAGAAATGAATTTGCTTGATTTAAGAACTTGAGATCAATTTCGGCATGCTTAGAGGCCAAAATTTGCATAGTTCTTTCATTTGAAGATTTGTATACAACTTGTAAAAATTTAGGTCTTTTGATGTCTCTGTACATAATGACTCATGGTTGTTATAAAAATATAGTAATTATATAAAAACAAATACTTTCTACATGCATTAGCAATATTAGACATTATAAAAAAAAAGTCATCAAAGTGGCTTTAAGATATTAATGATGTATAGGTGGCTACCACAAACAAAAGTTTGTTGGAAATTTTTTGTGAGAATTCAAATTGATAAGAATTTTATGTAGATTCAAATTTTCTCTTAGAAACATTGCTCTTAGAGGCCCTTGAAAGGAGCACTATTCCCTCATCTTGTCTATTCAGTAGTTAGTGGGGCCATCATTTGGAAGGCTGTAGCCCCTCTCATGCCCCCACTTCTATCACGTAGCAAGGTTCACATTATAATACTCCACCAATTATAATCCTCCACGTATTTAGGTGTACACATAGCAACATTAAGTATCATTGTAGTAAGTTAGAATGTACTTGTAGCCTCAGTCTTTCTCTATTAGAGCTAATCATTAGGTCTTCACAAAAATAAACTCTTTTCATTAATCTTCTAAAAATATTGTATTATATTTGTAAAATTTTAAAATCAATATCTAATTTTAATTCAAGCTCAAAAAAATTTCTTATTATTAATCTCTTAAATATTATTAGATGATATTTCTTATAATTTAATGATAGATATTCAATTTCAATC